GGCCTGTGGGTAACAGATCTCTTTCTAAAGCTTTTATTTATTTTCTTTTAAGCACAATTGCAGTGTTCAATTTTTTTTTCTTTTAATTGCAATGTGTCTTGTTTTTGTTTTTGACATGTACAAATTGTAAATTCTAAACATTAATTGTTCTTAGTTATGGTAAGCTTCTTTATCTCAAAGATTTTAAAATACCAATTTGTAAACTTGCTTACAATATTTAAAGATGAAAAAAAAAAATCACTGACATTATTTTAAGATCTCGTACATTGCAGATAATTTTTTTATGATATTTTCATTTAAAGTTGGACCGATTGTATAAGTTCTTTCTCTTTCAATTAGACATGGATTGACTTCTAAAATATAGTTCTTTTACTAAATGCTTTATAAAAAAACTGAATATTGTTGAAAAATTGTTTTTCCGTTTATATCATTAAATTTTTTCATTAATGATTGATCTCCATATGAACTCGTCTGATTTATCTTAAATGTTTAAAAAAAAAAAAAAGATTGAACTTTTTATGCATTGTAAATCACTTCCAGCTCTTGTTTTCAAAATGGTTCTTGATGGGATAACTCAGACCAGTAACTTGTTATAAAAAGGAATTGTTAAAAACCTAACAATTTTTCCCTTAAACAGTTTTGGACGACTGTCTTAGAGTAATTTATTTCTAATTATGTTTAAAATGATACTTAAGATTGAGCAATAAAACTTACTCTTTTCCTCTTTTTTCCTCTCTCTTTTTTTTTTTTTTTTTTTTTTTTTTTTTCCATTTCATCACTAAGCCTTCTCCCTTTGCTTGCAAAAAAATCCATCTGTCATTGCTAGTTTAAGTTTTTCTGATTATTTAAACAAGCCCTTTGATTACCTAAGCCTGATAAATTTTAATAATGGCAAATTTTGACTAAAAATAACACTGAATAAAATATACTGATGCAAATCAAACTTTATCAAAAAAGAAAATATAATGAAAGCCTTAATTTCTGAATAAAACTTCTGTCATTAACATCCAGTCATGTTCTGAAATTTTGGAATTTATTAGATTTTCATCCTATAATAAGGAATGTAAATTTTTTTTCTTCCTCTTTTTTCCTTAACCTATTTTCAATAACAGAATTATCTATGGTAATAAATACAAGAAAAGGGTTTGGAACAATCTTGAATTTCATTATCATTAGATATATTTACAAAATGGTGTAAAATTTCAAAATAAAACTAGATTATCTTATATAAAGAGTTGGTAAAAAATTAAAAATAAATAATCCTAATTGGTGGCAGGGTTGGATAGAGAGATCGGAGATTTTTTTTTTTTTTTTTACTTGCCATTGCTGAAAGCTTTTGCAATCCTGGCTTGCTTTATTTTTTAATTTAATTTAAAAAAAAAAAAAACAATTTAAAACATTCCTTTCGGTTTCTAAATTCCCAAAATCTTAACTAATACTATACCAACATTTATCATTTAAAATTTGCTGATGAAATTTAATAAACAATGAAGTTCAATAAACACTTAAAATTATTTTTTTTATTACCTGAAAAACAAAACTCTGTAATTTCTTTATTTTCTCATCTTTATTGGAGTTAAATACACTTTTTTTTTTTTTTTTCTTTTTCTCCTGGTAAAATCATACTTTTTTTTTTTTTTTTTTTTTTTTTCCATAAAAGTAATTTATAAACTAAACTCTTTTTGATATGTATCAAATGTTCACAAAGCCCAAATTTTCTGCATATTTTAAAATTTCAATTTTTTTTAAATGTCAAGTCTTTTATTTTATGATGAAAAAAAAATTTTGTAAAATCATTTTATCTGATTAAAATAGTAAATGGTCATGGTTAAATATAAATGACAGGAGTGCCCCAAAACAGAATTGACAAAATTTGTAATAAACAATAAGAAGAAAAAAAACAGGGTGAAAAATAATGTTGAGCAGGGAAACAATGTAAGACAAATTGACAGTGATATGGCAAACAATTAAGACTTTGTTGACACACAAGAGCAAATTTAGATAAACAAACATAGCAAGACAATCTTATTGGCTAAGAAGAAATCCCAGCATGCATTTGTATTTAGTTTATAAATTGGGGAGGCTTTTGCAATCATTCTCTCCATTTGGATTGGACCCGACCTCTCAATCTAATCGATGAGTGCACTCACTCTCTCTCTCTTATCCCCCCCTTTCTATGGGGACCAATAAATGCAAACAAGATACATATAAACATATACAATTGATTTGCATATTTTTTCTCAATATACATTTTCAACTTTTAATATTTCAAACTTTTTTGTTTTCATTAGTTTTTTTTTTTTTTTTTTTTTTTTCTCTCCTTCTTATAAAAGAAAGTAAAAAAAAAAAGTGGAAAGAAAAACAAAAACTAAGGGAATAAATGTGGTAAACAAAATGTTCAGTATAGTGCTCCATTTATAGCATTAACAAATTTATTCAATTTTACTTTGCCGATAGGTTTTGTAATTAAATATGTAACATTTTCGACTGATTGAATATAGTCCAATTTTGTATTGTTTTGAATTTCACTTATAAAGTGGTGCTTTATGTCTACATGTTTTGAACATTGGTGGTAGATAGGGTTTTTATGTTCTGGTTTACTGCAGATACAAGCATTATTAGTGTGTGACTTTGGTCTTGGCCTTCGCATTCTGAGGGCCATTACAGTATTTTCACTGTTATTCTCAATAATTGTTTCAGTTTTTTTGTAACTTCACAATGCTACTTTAAATTCACTAAATGTTACTAATTTTTCTGAGTTTTAAGTTTTAAACGACTTTGGACCGAAGACCATTTTAGGACCATGACTATTAGTAAGCTATCATTAATTACTTTTCTCAATGTTTTTAATAAAGTTGTAACCTCTTCAGCTCTAATAATATAATTGCAAATACTTTTGGCATTTGCTGCTTTTTGTTGTGAGGTTCTTTCAGTATACAAAAATTATTTTCCATTTTCTTTTTGATAAATAGTGATCTCTCAAAATTTGCAGTGCTTTTCTGCCATTGTCAGGCTTACTCTCATAAGACAGTCTTTGATCATAGAGAAATTGGATTAATTTGGCAAACATGTTTGCATTCTTTTTGCTGTCCTCTTCATTATTGGGGCAATCAATTGGTGCCAAGATTGTTTGTAATTTTTGGATTGTCATGTATCTTAAAATTCCATAGTTTATATTTTGATTTGTCACCATTGAAAAGGAGTCTAGTCCTGGGCTCATAACCTGTGGAATAAATGGCTCTATTTGAATAAATGAATGTAGCATTCTGATTTCAAGTCGAGACAGACTGGGACCGAGAGATGAGACTGAGAAGTGGCCGATCTTATTAACTTGTGAAATCCCAGCATGCATTTGTTTAGTCTATAAATTGATGAGGCGGAAGTATTTTTGCATAAGGACTGGAACCAGTATGTTTTTTAAAAAAAAAAAGTTGAAATTTAAAAATATGAAATAATTAGTATTTGACTTTACAAATTTAACAAACCAGTTATTTTAAGAGATGGTGTTACAAACTTTTAAGTTCAACTTCAGCTAACACCTAAAACCAAAATGACATTTCATAACTCTGTTGCAGAGGTGTTGGAGAGAGTAGTTTGCTAACTAGAATTGTTTGAAAGATGATAAATTGACAAACTGAGCACAAACAACAAAGCAAAGTTCTTGATTTAAAATAAGTCCAACTAATGGCAACTAATCAACAATTAAATACATCAGTAAATTTTTAGGAAAGGGTAGATGATTTCGTCAATGTGCTGAAAAATATATTATCAAACAACGCTTAGAATCCTTCCAAGGTGCATTCCAATGCTGACCACCAGACCAGAGTGAAAGGAAAGAATAGCTTAGAAAGAATTCTAGCTGAGAAAGTTGGAAAAGCATTTTTCCAAGAAAGATGTGAAACACAAGAGAAAAAGCAAAAACAACAAAGCAGAAGGAGTGTCTTGTCACCATGAAGACGGAAGTCAACTGCTACTTCCTTTGAAGCAGTTTCCGTCAGCTCATTTTGGAAGAAGTGCTCGTATCTATCCAAACTCCCCACAAGGCAGGATTTTATGTGGGGGCAATTCAGAGCCTTTAGACTCATGCAAAAATTCCCTGTAGAAGAGCTGGTATTTACCCACCTCTTCACCAGACAGGATGTGGTACAAGGCCTATTTTTATGAGCTTTTATTTCACTCAAAGGTTTTGTCTTTATGAACCTCTGTTTCTTCTAAGGATCTACTTAAGTTGTTCATTTGAGATTGGACTGATTTCTCTCCATAGGTTTTCTTTTTAATAAAGATTCACTTGCAAATAAATTCCTTAGTCAAGTGAGTGAACTCCTGACTCTAATCAACAAAGCAAATATTGTCTCATCTTAGTGAATAGGACAATATTTTAATATCTTTCTGGTGTTGCCAAGGTCTTAAAGAGGTTACCACATCTAGATGAGACTGACATTAATTATGCTGTGAATGTCATTTCTTCCAAATATTCCATAGGAATGTTTGTCATTGGTAACAATGGCAACACCATACCTATATTTGCCTTGGCGCTATAAACATGGTATGTATGCGCAAAATAACTTTCCTAGTTATCCATAAAGGTATTAATGTCATTCTTTTGAATGAATCACTATCTTTAACCACTAACAGAATCTCATCTATTGGAACTCTGAAAAGGTTTACAAAAATTGATGTTCACTATTCTTGTAAAAATTTCTTGTTGTAGTTAAATTCCATAGGCTTGGTCAAAAATTCCTTGTAGACCTTGTAATAACAGGGTCAGGTTTGTCTATCTCCCCAGATGAGACTGCTTTTTGGCATAGTCTCATCCAGGTTCCTCCCTGCCCAAGGGTTCAACAAGCTGAGCATTGCCAAACCCAGAGGTTTGATGACCTCTAACAGTTTTAATTTACTCTGCATATCAGCAGTTTTCCTGAATATGTATATTCAAGACAGATACATTAATGGAGGGTGGGGTGGATAATACCACATTCTCCCCTGCCTTATTTCTGTAGAGGGAAGAAGTCACTGAATCAAGCAGGCATCCTTTGCTGTCTGAGACCATTGCAGATTGCCACGGGCACAAGATTCCTCCTCTTTCTTGCTAGAACTTGATTTTATCCTGCTGTGTTTTTGTAATCCTATACAATTGGCTTGCTCATCCTCTGAAGTATCGGTAGGTAGGTGGGCTCTCTTCTCTAAAACCTATTTGTCCCCACTTCAGGGACTGGAGCTCAAGGGTTCCTCATAATCTTCATAAGGAGACCTTGTTTCTGTTTCTTCATTGTCTGTCACAGTATCCTGAGAACAGCCCCCGCTTATGCTTGTGGGTCCCAATTCATCCCCTACAGGAACCAAGTCCCATAGTGTCTTCCCGTACATCCTAGTAACAGACATGTGCATACTGAGGGTTGGTGTTTAGAAGCTCCACCAGTGGTTCATTCTTATTCAGTTGTGTATGCGTGTCTTTTTAGTAATATTACTCCCGGGTTTTGAGAGCCAAGATGGTATTGATGCTCCAATCAAACTTCTAGGAAACAGGAGGAATTGTTCATGGGGTGTTGCCTTAGTTGCAGTGTATAGCAGCATTCTAATTGCAGGCAGAGCCTTTAAGATTAGTTGTTTGCTAAATTCATTAAAGCTACTCCTTTATCAGCAGCTGCTAGTTGAACAGTTTTCCAAATTATTCTGTTATGCCTCTCACACAAGCCATTACCTTGAGGTTCATATGGGGTGGTTTTACTTACGGCTACTCCTTGCTCTTCTAGGAACTGCTGTATGCATTTGAACATAAATGAAGACCCTCTGTTCGAATGTATGCAAGTAGCCTGAAGATGTTTTATCATCCTAACACCAACAAAGTCATAAAAACCTTGCAACCCTATGAAAGAATCACACTGGATTTTAAAGGACCAGAAGAAGGAAATTACTAGAAAGTAATTGAAACTCACCTGAAGCGAGCTGAATGTGTAATGCTCCTCATGCCAATGACACTTCCACCAAGCTTCTCTATGGCATATGACTTCACTGAATTTCTTTTGATGTGTTCCTCTTGAATTTATATTTAAATTGGGGTCATCAGGAGAGAATGTGCACTGTTTCGGGGCCTTTCTCTCAACGGTTTCAGTTGCACACCGCCCCACCCCCCTCACTGATGTGAGGCCCCATTATAACGATATACAAGTGTGTTGTAGGTAGACTAGTTCAAATGTCTAACGGCGAAATTAAATTTACGAAAATTCTGAAAAACGGCAAACCTCGCGTTCTGAGAATGCAACGTGAACCTCATTACGCATTCACGATCAGTCATGTCAGGCTGTCATGTTTGCTGAAACACTCCACGGAATATTTCTTTTTTTCCATATTCACATAGAACTTTTCTCAGTTACTTCTATTAGGCGTTTTATACTTTTGGCCCTATTATGCCCTTTCATTCCAATTTGTCCCAGAAATTGGTACAGAGTGCCTGAAACAAAACCCCTTGCTCCAGTTTCCACTGCTCTAACAACTGCATTATACCCCTCCTTTATTAGCTCTGATTTTAGATTTTCATATTTATTAGTTTTATAATCGTGGCTTTGTCCCATCTGGAATTCATATGGTACTGTTAATTCAACCAGGATGATTTTATAGTTCACCCTTGACAGAAGAAGAATATCTGGTTGCAGACCTTTACTTGATATTATTTTGGGGTAATCATTACGCCAACCAGGAAGGTCTGCAGATGCCACCAGAACTAAGGAGATTTTTTCCGGGTATAGCTTGACATTTACTTGTTTGCTTAGGACCAACATATCTTTTTCCTTCTGCAACAAATTTCTGGGTTGAATTAGGTAACTCGGACTTCATGTATTTCTTTATAATTTTAACCAGCTCATCCAAAACACTATTGTGCTTCCATGTATATCTTCCATTGACAAGGGCTGTTTTACAGGAACTATGAACATGTTCTAATGTTTGTGGATTTTCCTTACACAGGGAGAAGTAGGATCACTCTTTTCTTCCATTTAACAAGATTGTTCTTAGATGGTAGCAGGTCATACGTGGAACGTATTAAATAACTCAACCATCTGCCAAATGTCCTTCCAAGTAATGAATTTCTGCAGAGCCTCCTCCATTGGCTTTGTTGGGATTGCTGCACTCCTTTTACGAGTCTTTTTTTTTTTTTTTTTTTTTTTTTTTTTTTTTTTTTGGATGACCATGTCATGGTAATCTTTACCAGAAGTTTTCGACCACCATTGCCTTTTATTTAGTCCTAACCCTTGTTTCCCTGCTTGAGTGTATCCAATGACTTCATTGAAAGCTAGATTGTCTTTTAGCACTTATTGTCTCTCTGACCTTCCACTTTCTCCCTGTTTTTAATGTAGGCATTAATGCTTTTATTGCATTATCCTTGGAGTCATCCAACATCATTGAAGTCTAATTTTTCGGGATTTATACTCCTCCACAATCAATTTAAATGGCAATTTTAGTTTTGCTTGTCTGCAGTACAATGCGATATCAGACAAACCTGGAGGCAAACCCAACCATTTTTGGATATTGTTTTTCTTTCCATTGACTCAATTGTACTCATTCCAAATTCGTACACAAGTATGGGCCATAGTAGCTTTGGAATGAGCACATGCTCTAAGCACCATACCTTGTATTTTCCTTTTAGAGGACAAAGATCTATCTTATGGAGATCTTCTTGTAATGATCTGGATGTTTCTTTTACTTGGTTGGTATCTTAAGAATTGATCGTACCACCGACCTAAACTTTTCACTGATTTTTCTGATACAGTAGGGATTCTTTGGCCACCTACTAAAAAATGTATATTTTTATTCAACTTTCCTTTTGTAAGAGAAAGACTTCTGGATTTGTTTGGTTTAAATTTCATTCTACACCAACTTATCAGGTCGTCCATCAAGCTTAATATCTTGCGAGTTGAACTTACTTTGGATGAGAGGATTGTAGTGTCGTCCATGAATGCTTTCACTGGTGGCATTTGACAAGCTCAACAACATCAGCCTTGTTTGTCGCTTTGAGAATCAGCTGCATTGCTAGAACAAAAAGTATTGGTGACACTGTACATCCCTTCGCAATTCCAACTTCAAGTCTGTTCCAATTAGTCGTAAAGTCTTTTGTAGTGAACACGAGGAAACCATCAAAATAAGTTCCTAGCATAATAGATATTTCCTCAGGAATATGGTACATTTGTAATGATAATTGTATCATTTGGTGAGGTACTGATCCGTAGTCATTAGCTAAATCCAACCAAATGACGTCCAAATCTTTCCTTTTAATTTTTGCTTTTTGAATGGCCTCCCAGATCATGTTTCCATGCTCTAAGCAACCAGCTATTCCTGGAACACCACCCTTCTGTACTGACATATCGATATACTCCTTATTGAGAAGGTATTTGGTCAACCTCGATGCCAAAACTATGAAAAATATCTTTCCTTCTACATTGAGAAGCGAAATTGGCCGAAATTGACTGTTGTCCTTGGAAAACTATTATCCACTGTTGGCTGATATGGTAATTTTTCCATGCTAACTTTAAGTTAATATGTAACCATTTAAGAAGAGTAGGACATTTTTGTATAGAAGTAAAGGTATTCTGTTAGAGCCAGGTGCAGATTTATTCCTACTTTTGTCGACTATGCATTTTATTTCTTAGTGTGTGAGTGGTTTCACGTCAAACTTCACTTTAGAAATTGTGCGAGGAAAACAAAAACACAACTTCTTGCGACACAAAAAAAGAACGCCGCCTTGTGGACCAGAAACGAATGCTACACAAAATGAACGCCTACTTGCGACACAACAATGACATCGATAGCAAGTGATGGTTCGTCGATGCTTGGTACCAGCACCTTTGGATGGTTCACGACCCAGGAGACAATTGCCCTCCCTATGATTGTGTCCATCGCATTTATAGCACCTTGTGTGCACGTTTCTTTCAACTGCACAGCCACTGCGGCCTGCTCTGTAGGACCAGTGCACTTCTTCAAAATAGCGTGAACTCGTGCCAACACATGTGACAAATCCAGGTCTTCCATCTGGGATGACGCTCTTAAAAGCTACTCTACATGCTCAGGCAATCCAGCAACGAATGCACACTGCAAACACTTTTCCAATACGCCACCAAACAGAACTGCGAGTCTGCGCAGTTCTGCCAAAAAGATGTCGACCGTCTCCCCTGGCTGAAGGCGACGTGCTGCAAACTGCTTCCACACGGAGAAGGTATCTAAGGCGAAAGCTGTGAATAACGCTTTCTTAACGCAATTGAAATCTGCGCGCTTCTCCTCACTCAATTGCTGGTACACAGCATATGCGCCACCTGCCAAACGCATCAGGATAACACACTAGATTCGCTTCACACTGCTCAACTGACATATTAGTTCCGCCTTATCCCAACATTCCACTACCAACTGTCCAGAATCGCTTCCGTCGAACAGTGGTATCGGCTTCAGATCGAAGGCCATAATGCCGAAATAGCTTGTGCGAGAGAAAAAAACAAAAATACAACTTCTTGCAACACAAAAAACGAACGCCTTTTTGCAGACCAGAAACGAGTGCTACACAAAACGAATGCCTACTTGCGACGCAACAACAAACGCCTTCTTGCGAACCAGAAACGAATGCGCCACAACAAACGCCTTCTTGCGAACCAGAAACGAATGCGACACAACACTTTGACAGCCAACGAGCAAAACGGCACCCAAGACTGCTGCCAACGGACGACCGACTGCAATGGCTTTTGTCGCCCAAGAAAAGACACCAAACGACTCGCGCATCTTCTTCTTATAGTTCTCGGTCAAGTCCATTATGGTACTCTAAGGTGTGCCCGGCGACAACACACACACACACACACACACACACACACACACACACACACAGTTCGAGGACGTTTCCGCGCATGCTTGTTACAGAAATGGCTGGCCAAAATAAGTTGCTATTATGATCTAGAGGAATATATCATTTAGGATCAGAGTACGTGTCTCTTAAATGTTCCTCTAGAAAATTTTTTTCTCTATTTTAAGTACACCTGATCTTGGTTGATCAAATATATTCCTCGCATATTTGTACGGTTCCTGGAAGAAACGCTCTTGGTCTTTCCTTCGTTTCACT